TTACCATCATTGAGTTAAGCTTTAAAAACAAGATTGGAGGCATACTTTACTTGAGAAAACAGGTAACCATCATCTGAAGAGGTCACTTCAAGCCTCAAAAAATAGCTCAAAACACCAAGATCTTTCATCTCAAATTTCTGACTGAGAGATTGTTTTAACTCCTCAACACCTGCGACATCATCTTTAGTAATAATCATGTCATCAACATAAAGAAGTAAAAGGACCATACCTCGAGTAGTCTTACGAATGAACAAAGCTGTATCATGTGGACTGGAAGTAAAACCAAACTCACTCACAGTAGTACTAAACTTTGCATACCAAGCTCGAGGGGATTGCTTCAACCCATATAATGCATGACGCAATCGGCATACCTTGTTTGGAGGATGGTTGAGCCCAAGAAGTGGTTTCACATAAACTTCTTCTTCTAGGTCACCATTAAGAAAAGCATTTTTCACATCCATCTGAAACAATTTCCATCTCCACATAGCAGCGATAACAAGCAAACTACGCACAGATGTAAGATGAGAAACTAGAGCAAATGTCTCCTCATAGTCGATTCCATACTCTTGTGTAAAACCCTTGGCAACCAAGCGTGCCTTATAACACTCCACAAAACCATCAGATTGTGTTTTGATCTTGTACACCCATTTACAGCCTATTAGAGATTTTTCAGTAGGGAGATCAACTAAATCCCATGTACGAGTGTTCTCAAGAGCTTGTAATTCATCTTACATAGCTTGTTGACAAAGAGGGTTAGAAGAGGCCTCTTAATAGGATTGGGGCTCATGTAACGAAGTAATAGCAAGAAAGCAATGCTAATCACGAAGGTAGTTGGGAGGGTTTCTTACCCGAGTAGGATGACTCGAGGATGGGACAACAAGCTCATTTGTAGAATCAACATGTGATACAGACGAAGAAGTAGAAGAAGGCTCAAAATTATCTAATGCATTACCAGCAAGCAGATCATCTTCTACAGAACTCGTTGGAGCATGTGATGAGGCATTGCAAAGCTCATCAGATGTACCTGCATTAGAATCACTAGGAAATAGCTCAATAGAAGGATTAGTAAAAAAAAGGAGGTTGATGAGAGGATGACACTTTGAAGTTTGACAATGATGAGAACATAGTGTGTTCCCAAAAGACAACATGATGTGAAACTCGAAGTTTTTGTGACACAGGATCCCAACAATGATATCCTTTTTGTGTAATCCCATAACCCAAAAAACAGCATAATTGAGCTCTAGGTTCTAACTTGTTATGTTCATGAGGTGGAAGAAGAACAAAACATGCACAACCAAAAACCTTAAGAAGATTATAAGTAGGAAGAATACCATGTAGACGCTCGTATGGAGACTGGTTATTAAGGACTGATGATGGAATGTGATTAATAAGATAAACAGCTGTAAGAGTAGCTTCACCCCAAAATCGCTTTGGACAAGTAGATGAAATGAGCAAAGCACGAACAGAATCAAGAATGTGTTTGTGTTTGTGTTCGGCTCGCCCATTTTGTTCAGAATATAAGGACAAGATTGTTGTGGCAGTGTACCCTGTTCTTTCAAAAAGGATTGAAGTTTAGTACCAAGATATTCAGTAGCATTGTCAGTTCTCAAAACTTTGATAATTTTAGAGAACTGAGTTTTGACCATAGTAGCAAAATCAATATAAATTTGTGATAATTCAGAACGACTTTTCATAAGGTATATCCAGGTAAAACAAGTATGATCATCAATAAATAACAGGAATTACCTGGAACCCCCCATGGTGGGTGTAGGAGATGGACCCCAAACACCAGAATGCACGAGATCAAAAGGAGTAGTAGAATGAGAATGACTACTCAAAAAGATAAAGTTGGTTGCTTTGCAGATTGACATGACACATAATGCACAGATTCATTCGGAATTGGTCCTAACAAACCACGAGAGATAAGTGGACGGAGTTTACCAACTGAGGTATGTCCGAGTTGTGAGTGCCACAAATGGAAAGGAGAAATGTTAGTAGCAGCACAGGTTTGGAAGATTTGTTGATATGGAATTTGCAAAGACTCTAATTCAACAGCACAAAGTAGGATTTGGATTAATCGATCATTTGGAAATGATGGTGTATCCATTTTATTATCAGGAATATGCAGATAGTTGCGTTCAAACAAATGCCCCACCTTGCGACCAGTTCCAAGAAGTTGTCTTGTCCGTGGGTCTTGCACACGACAACCATGAGCAGAAAATGTTACTTCAAGACCAAGATCACATAATTGACCGCCAGATAGAAGATTATAACTAAGTTTTGGAACTAAAAAGGCATTTGGTAAAGTCAATGACTTTGTAGAAACATTACCGATGTGACTAACATTCATAGGGGAACCATCAGCAGAATAAATATCGAGAAAGGAATTATTAGGTGACATTGAAGAGAAATGAGCAGTAATTGAAGACATATGGTTACAACAACCAGAATCGAAATACTAAGGTTTGGTACCGGGAGCAGTAGATAAGGCAGTATAAGCATTAAAAAGATTTAATATCACCTGTTTTAGGGATTCAAGGTTGACATTAGGTTGTTCTATCAGTTCTTTGGCAACCATAGCAGTAGCAGAATGAGTTACAATCCTTTCAAAACTCGTCATAGAATTAGTAAACTCACAATACTAAAAAACTCTAAAAATATGAAGAAATAAATGCCAAGATCGAAATAACAAACCAACAAAATACCTCAGAAAGGGCTTGAGAATCGAGGATAAACAATCCAATCTATAAGAGAAGAGATCCCAACGACAAAGTTTCATATCTGGAATGGAATTGAAAATTCAACTCCAAAAAACCCAAGAGCGATGATAAAAGAAAAGAACCAGGAGCTTATAGCTCTAATACCATGTTAGAAAAATAGAAAAGAAGAATAATTTGAAAAAAAGTTTATTACTTTCTTGAATCATATTGTATGTACAATTATCTATATATAAGTGTTTACAAAGAGAATATCTAAGATATAAAGTATATAAAGAGAATATTTTAAAGTATAAAATATGTACAATAATTCTAAATATAATTGTGCTCACATCTTAACAGATCTTATAAAGTGAGAAGAAGAAACTTAATTACAGATTCAGCGAAATGCCTTCCTTTTCCATAGAGTTCTTCATGACCTCTGTGTTTCCCTTCTTCATCACTTCCACTGTTTAAGAAATGGAAAATATTCTTACTATTGCTCAAATTCCAACAATTTCAGCACAAATAGTACTTATCATGCCAATTTCAAGCACTTCTTCACCATTCTCTCCTCCGATGCCACCGCTATCCTCGAAAAATACTTATTGTGATCTCAATTAACACCGGCGTTTTGTGCAACAACTTAATAACGGGGAAACTTCTAAAGAAGCAGCCGAGATTACAATTCTTTGGCAATTAAGGCTTCAGACTTCAATCTCTGTAATTTT